CCGATCTGGGCGGGGTTGTTGTAGCCGCTACAACAACAACAACAACATAAATTTAAGCAATTTATCCCTTTATCACTTTATATGAAGACCGCTAATGTAAAATAATAAATGTAATCTCGATCGGCGGACACTGAAACGCAGCTAGCAACTGTATACGTGAAAGAGGAATGTTGCCAATTTTTCTCATTAAACCATGTTCTAATCGTGGAAATTTTTGAAGAACATAGAGTTCCTTATAGTATCTAAATTCTTAATGCAGAAATTGAGTTGCATTTAGTTACATTTAGGTGACGAATTTTGTATGGATAAATGTAGATTTAGAATAGCTAAATGTGCTTTTACGCGTTGGCAAAACAGCCCATTAAACCCTTCGAAAATGCAATAAAATAGACTATACTTTTGGAAAGGCATTTATAATATAAAGATAACTACGAAAAATAAAGCGGGATTTAAAATTGAATTTGTTTTTCAAACAAAATTAACAAAATCTACCAAATTAAGTAAAAATTTATCTTTTCACCAACCCAAATTTTTTCTATCAGTTTTGGTAACAACTTGATATAGTTGCAACCCTGACTGTGAAGCTGTTGGATATCGAATTCGAATTATCTTTCGAAGATCGAAAGGCGGTGTCGTTTTGTCGCTCCTTAAATAAACTGGCATCTTTCAATAAATTTTGTTATAATTTTTACCTACAGTCTGATTAAAGAGGCAAGCAGATTGATTTTTCTATTAAGTAAATTTTTAATATTTGAAAAAGGGCGAGGAATTCGTTCCTTAATGGCACAAAACTATCAGTGTTGTGTTGAATATTATCAACTACTTAATTTTTAATAATTATCCGGCAACGCTCGTTAGCGTCTTTGTCTTCGCATTATATGCACCGCCTTTGGATTAGGCAAAGCGTTTCAATTCTTCAGTTACGGTCGAAATAAGCAGACATTTTTGATTGAAACACTGTGTAGTGTGAATAGAAAAGCATATAGAAAAGAAAGTTTTTGGAAGTTGTTTCGAAATTCGGGTGAAAAGTGATACTGTTTGAAAGACGCCGTATAGAATTAGTTTTTAACATAATCGAGAAGAAGCAGGTAATTACAAAATTTTGGTTTGCAAAAATGGTTGGAAATTTACTTGGCCCAAGAATGGAAAGAAAAGTGAAGTTTGAAAAAGGAGTAGCTGTGCGAGAGAGTTAAGGAAAAATTCTGTATAACGATATGTATAGTAAAGAAAATAAAATATACTGGTGACGCAGAGTTAGCATTGCATTATGTATAAAGAATAAATTCATTTTCTTTATTTAACTATGGGAAAATTTATTATCGCTAGTACATACATATGTACGTATATGCAAGTGTAGTTATTCTCAGACCATTGCACTACTAGAAATACAACACGATAAAGCTGATTGTCGATGGTCGGCAGTGTAAAAAGTCGGTTACCCCTCCTGGATTCCTGTCGTTCATTGTCGTGAGCTGTGAAATGTGTTCAATTTGGGTGTGCCTTTCGCAGCGCTGCCAAAGCTGCGGTCGCGTCGTCGCCAAAGGCCAAGTCACAGGCGCCGGCATAGTAGCAAGTTGGATTGTAGGGCTTTGTTGGTGCTGGTGCATTGCATTCGAGCTGTGGTCGACAAATCGCTGTCGCCTTCGCCATATAACTTCGTGTATATTTCCATTCGTTTGTTTCGTCCATATGCTAGTTTCGTTGGTTCTACTCGTTCTAGTAATTCGTTTAATGTGCAATCGCTAATTCCCTTATGTCCTTTTTGTTTGTATTCTTATATATTTTTGTCTTGAATACATATATGCATTTAAGAGATAGTGTTGAAATAGCAATTCTGCAAGTAAATTAATGTACATATGAGACCAATTAATATACATAACTCGTCAATAAAATGATTAAAATAGGTACTTAAGTTACACCAAATGTACTTCATCTGATAATGTTTGTTGTGTACGAAGTGGTAACATTCATCGAAATCAGTTCCTTTGAAAGCTATGTGATGGGTATTATTAAGTAAAATTTTTATTAAGCGAGTCATATAAATACGATTTAGGTATTTGTACAACGATTTTGGTTTGCTGTGCCCAAACGCGTGACCAGAACTAAAACTTTTACACACTTGTACACAAGATTCTACGCTTTATTAAAAAAAAAAAAATACTATGTATATCTGTGATCTAAATGAATCATAGTTTCGGGAGCTGTTTGAAAATAGGGGAAATTTGGATTTTTTACAAAACGATTGTAAGCCTCACTAACAGGTCTATTCTGCGCTGGTAACATAAATTTTGTAACCGATAGTTAAAGTGTCTGCCAATTTTTACACCTTTTTCGCATTCTGCACTCTCTTGTAACCGGTAAATTTTTTATTTTTATTTTTTGTAATTGTAATTTATTTCAGTCGTGAAGCAGACGTTCCTTACAGACTAGATACAGAAATTAGGTACTTAAACGATACGTGTAAAACATAAAGCACTCCACAGTTTCGAGATCACAGAGAAAATAAATAAACTTTTTGGAAGTGAAAAATCAAGTTCCTTGGAATTCGAGATTGTGTTGAATTCATTTAAAGCTCTTGAAATAAGGGCATTTCTGGCATACTCCGTTTTACAATTTCCTCCATAAAAAGGCATAGGATTGCGAAGAATCCTTTGAGGAACATTGAATTTGATGCTCAAGGAGGGTAAGGCAATCGATCACACCATTTATTAAATTAAAAGTAAAAGTTTGAGAGATCAAAGATCGGGTGGGCTTTAGTAGTCAGCGGCACCTTGTGTTTTTAGAAAACCAGGTGGAATTAGCAAATGAAACTTGGTCAGGATGTTAAGGGAGGTATCCTCTAAATCATGTATAACTAAAAAATATAAACAATCAAATCATTGTTTATAAGTTATTTGTTGTTAACATTTCTTAAGTCGTTACACTTGATTTCCTTAACAAAAAGTGCATTTGTCACATACTTTCATATATATAAATGCACATAACACTGTACTTGGGTGGGGTTTAGTAGCGCTCACAACTATTTCGGGCTATTCCGTCCAAAGGGGTGGCCCGATCCAAAAAAAATTCCACACCCTTGTAGTCAAGGATCCACGCATTATTTTAACACTCACTTTTGTAAATTTTGGTCACTAATTTATTTACAAATTGGGTTTGAAATATGCCCTTTTTTGTAAAATTCGGAAATTTGCGTACATTTATCACTCCTATTCTCCTTAAAGTAGCCACTTCACCAATATATTTTTGTATTCCCCTTCACTTTACACTATACTCGATTAGTTATTACTTTCTTTACGACTTTAATATTAACCAGTTAATCACAATTCATTAAATAAAAACACCTTTAAAATCACGCGTGGTTGCATATGCAAATTAAATGGCGGAGTTCAGTTGTCAACCTCCAAAGTATGCAAAAGAATGAGAGACAAAAGAAGATAAAATATAACCCAATAAGCAATTAAAATATACAAAGGTGTTCTCTGCAAAAGGTGTTCAGCTCCTTTTCTTCGCAAAACAGAAAGGAGAATTCTATTGCCTGAGGGTTATAATGCCTAAGTGCGGCCGAAGGCGACCTACGCAGAAAGGTGTTCTCTGTAAAAGGTGTTCAGCCTCCCTTCTTTGGCAACACAGAAAAGAGAATTCTACTGCCTGAGGGTTATAATCCCTAAGTGCGGCCGAAGGCCGCCTACGCAGAAAGGTGTTCTCTGTAAAAGGTGTTCAGCCTCCCTTCTTTGGCAGCACAGAAAGGAGAATTCTACTGCCTGAGGGTTATAATCCCCAAGTGCGGCCGAAGGCCGCCTACGCAGAAAAAATTCTACGCAAAAATACATTTGTTAAAGAGAATATTTTTTTTATATAAACTTGTTTTTTCTATTTTTCATTAACTTTTTTATTCTTTATTCAAAATTGCCCGATATCTAATTTGGCATAATTTCTTTTATTAAAAAATCCCACGGTTTCTGTGAGTTGGGTCATATTCCACTTCAAACTGCTCAGTTTGCCAAAGAAAATCCCGTTTTTCCCCCTTTTTCAAACGGTTCCCTAGGGGCCTGTGGGAGGAGCCCAAGGGGGGATACACCTTTTTAGAAAGCGGGGACTGTCCCCTTTCTAGTGGGGGCGGTTTGATGGGCACCGCCCCCTCCCCCTCCGCCCACCACCCCAAAAACGATGTGAGCGCTACTAAACATTTCCCCTGTACTTAATACTTTACACATTTTTATTTTATTTTATCTTGTATATAAATCACTTTAATTTAAATTTAAATCTTAAATTTAATTTTATTGACTTGTAAATTACATCGAATTGCACCCATATTTACAATAGTTGCGTTCGCGTAGCTGTTAATTGTTCATGTTTAACCAAAAGTAGGGGAAATTGAGAGAGCAAAGTGACATTTCATTTTGAGAAGCTGCTGGTTTCTGCTGGAAAAAATTTTGCCAACAGCAATTTGGCAACAGGAAAACAGCTGATCAAAAACAGCTGGTTGGCATTTACGCAAATCACAAAATTGAGTTTGATGGTTTGGAAGTTAAAAATTACAAAATGCGCCTAACTAAACTTGTAAGAAATAATAGTTATTTGTTTAATCAATAAACTGTGCCAGTATAACTCTTTGTGATGACTTTTCGTACGTTTTAAATTTTACACTTTTGAATGTAAACAAAAATTATATCAGCTGTTCGTCTAACTTGCAAGTTTCTGCAAATTTTCTGTTCGCTCACTATTTGGGATATTTTTCTCTTGTGGGAGAACAGATGACATTTCGCCTGAATTTGGCAGTTGCTTGGTTTTTACTGGAGATTTTAAACGAACGCACCTAATAACACATGGTTGCAAACTGACACAATATGTGTTGCAATGCTTAATACGTGCAGAATACGTACATTTCTCTGATTGGAAAAATTTATATTGGGATTGATAGGGGTATTAGTCCTTATCATAACGATAATAGACTTCACTCGGGCGGCAGCCCCAGGTTTACTACCCAGAACGGAAATTCTGTTACCTTATCCTTTCCCAAGGTTACAAGCGGATGTAAGCAACGTGGTTAGTTGGTGTAATGCAAGCTATATGCCACTAAGCCTAAAAAAATGTAGTTATGTATTTCTCTCGAAGGACAGTTCTACCAACTGTTTATTCAATATCAAATTATAATCTGGAGCCGGTATCCCATTTTGTAGATCTTGGTATCACAATGGATTTCAAACTCAATTTCAACCTTCACATTAATGTTACAGTAAATAAAGCCAAAGGCGTTTTTGCATTTGTAAAGCTATAGTCAAAATATAATACGATATGTTATAGGGGTATTCACAACGGTGTCGTAAGAGTCGTATTGTTGTATGTCGGAAACTTTAAACGCATAAAAATTTATCAAGGGGGTTCGCAAAGTACCATCAAAGTCCTATTATGCATTTTCGCAATGTTAAAAAATAGTTGGTTGTGGTTTCAAGTTCTCTAAACATTTATTTAAGCTTTTAAAGTTTACGACATACAACAATACGACACTTACGACACCGTTGTGAATCCCTCAATAGAACTGAAATGGTTTGAAAGCTACCTTAGTGGAAGAATGCAGAAAACACTAGTTGACAATGCGGTATCTACAGAAATTTATGTAGAAATTGGCCTTCCACAGGGATCTGTATTGGCTGCAATCTTATTTATTTATATATTAATGACGTTAAGTGAGATTAAAGGCCTTGGCCTTTCACTTCGCACTTAAATAAAACTATTGCTGACATATTTGCCATGCTTGCATTTGTTAGACGCCACTCTTCAGAGTTAACCGATCCTTACACTATTAAAATACTCTATACCGGTTTGTGCGTTCAAAATTGGAATTTGCTGCGTTTTTTTTTTTTTTTTGAAGACCGAGTCATACTGTTCATATTAATCTTTTAGAAAAAGTGCAAAAGGTATTTTTACGCTTTGCTTTTCACTAAGTTTTGCTGAACCATACTACCAACTTTACATAACAGAAGAACTTCTCAGGCTATCCCATTTTTATTGGGTATTATCTCGTGAAAAATTGAGTGCCCGGCCTTACTTGAGAGAATCCATTTTTATGTTCCTAGCCGTAATTTGC